GATGTCTTTGCCTCAAGACAAGGAGGCACCTGCTCTGGACTGTGGGACCTGAATTTCTGCAAATTTCTGGTTAAAGGAGAAAAAATAATCCCTCTCCTTTAAAAAATGGATACATAAATAAACCAAGCTAAATTCTCAAAACTATTACAAAATCCCAAACAGAAGTTGGCAGTCATTAGCTATCAGGAGGGCAAGGACACTTTCATCTTCCCCCCACTGCACCTTAGAATCAAAAAAGGACATTGACAGGCTGGAAAAGAGGTGACTTTTGATGCTGCCACAGCATGAGATGTGGGAACAACTTTAATTTCCATATCCATGTGTTTTCAGGTGCTGGTGCTTGGTCCAAACACCTGCACAGCACAGGAAAGCTTCCATCAATCCCTTAATAGGCAGGGGAAATTAATCTAATTTTTTGAAGATTACAAACATCCAGGAGCTGTCCTTAGCCACAGCTAYTGCAATAACTCTAATTTCACTTCCCTGCATTCCCTCACAACTCAAAGAAAATATAATAAAATCATAGAACGGTTTGAGTTGGAAGCGACCTCAAAAATCATCCAGTTCCATCCTCCTGCCATGGGCAGGGACACCTTCCACTGTTCCAGGTTGCTCCAACCCCATCCAGCCTGGCCTTGGACATTTCCAGGGATGGGGCAGCCACAGCTTCTCTGGGCAACCTGTGCCAGCACCTCATCACCCTCACAGGGAAGAATTTCTTCTAAATCTCTAATCTAAATCTCTTTTCTGTCAGTTTAAAGCCATTCCTTCTTGTCCTGGTACTCCAGCCACTTGTCCAAAGTCCCTCTCCAGGTCTCCTGGAGCCTGTTTAGGCACTGGAAGGAGCTCTAAGGTCTCCCTGGAGCCTTCTCTTCTCCAGTCTTAACAGCCCAACTCTCTCATCCTGTCTTCCTAGGAGAGGTGCTCCAGCCCTCTGATTAGAAATCCTTTCTCAACATCCAGGTTTCTCCCATCTGAGGAGCACTMCCAAATGACAAGAAACCCCCTTCCCGTGTGGTGCACGGCAGACACCTCCCACAGCCAGACAGCAGCGCTCRCACCCAACAATGGAAACCTTCCCTCCGTTCGCACGCTCGGCTCTGCCAAAAACAAACCCCGCTGCTCAAGTGGGAGAACACCTTCCTACTACTCCAGGGAACACCAGGGAATCGGTGCAGATCCCTGGTTAGTTGGAAGCAGCGTTTCTCAAGGAAGACAAGCGAGGGAGCTCGCAGCAGCAACTCTTTTCAGCGCTAAGGAGATTAGGACGGCGGCCCAGGGAATCAGCAATCCCAACACTCCACATCCACACGGCTTTGCCCACGGCTGTCACTTTGAGGAGGGTTTGCTGCAAAACCAGCACAGTGATTATCTTGTTCTCTCGCAGGAACACGAGGATTGAGATGCAGGGGAGAAGCAGCAGGACGGGAGCCGCAGGCTTTGTGGAGGCGCAGCCAGCTCTGTGCACCGAGCAGGGACCACCACACGGAGGAAATCCGGCCAGAAACCACCCCAGCGCYGGAACGCTGGCCAAGAAACTGGTTTGAGAAAACACAAAATGTGCCAGCAGCCTGACAGCACTGCCCATTGCTCCAAGAGGGGGTGGAGTGAATGCCAGGACATCCCTGCGAAGGCAGGCGTGGGTGGTTATCAGATTAAGCCACCACCCAGGGAGAAGCGTTTTTGGGTCACCACAGTGCCCACATCACAAGCTGACAGCTGGGGGAGCCACACAAGGGTGTTGTAAAAAGGTTCCTTTTCTTTTCCACACACACTCAATGGCATCCCACAGAGCAGTGTCACCACCAGGAATCACGTGTGAGGTGAGGACATGGAGCAGCTCGCCGGGAAAGGAGCAATGGCGAGCCAAATCCACCAGGAGTCCACACAGAATCACAGAATTGTTTAGGCTGGRAAAGGACTTTAAYATCATCAAGCCCARCCATTAACCAARCATTGACTGCCRAGGCCAGMAYTATGACATGTYCCCAAATGCCACATCTGCACACTTTTTAAATCCCTCCACCGCTTCCTTGGGCAGCTGTTCCAATGCTTRACCATTCTTTTGGKGAAGAAATTATTCCTAATATCAAATCTAGACCTCCMCTGGCACCATTTGAGGCCATTTCCYYTCATCCCAYCACCAGCTCTGGGCCCTTGTAYRTGCCCTTAGACAARCAARGCCCCCRATTCTTTCACACCCCTAAACACAAAATCAGCACATGACAGAACAATTCACGAAAAATAGCATTTGTGAGGTTCACCAGCAACACTTGAAAAGATCAGAAAGCTGGATAAGGAGAAAAAGCAACAAGATCTAGCAAGGACCTGGGCACAATGAGCCATCAACACATGGGTGTTACATTTCCATTTATTTTAACCAACAAAAGTTTATTTTATGGATAACTGTGTGCACACAGCTGTATTTTTACAGCTGATAAAAACACAACTTTTCCAATCACTGTGCCTCTAACTGAAAGCACTGATGACCAGCCATAGAAAAAGAAGGAAAGAAAACCACTTAGTGACACACAAAAAGTTTGAGCAGTGAAGTTGATGCCTGGACACAAATCCAGGCACAGGCTTAGCCCCAGTCAACCTCTTCCTTGCATCACCTGAAAGGCTGGAGCACAGGTCAAGCCAGTTGAACAAAGTCCCCAGGGGGCACCTGCTGGTCTACTTAGCAAGGAGTGGCCTCTCCAGACCTCAGCAGCCTCTGGCAAACACTGGGTCATGTGGATGAAGGGCTGGGGCCAGGGAGCACCTTGTGTCTGTGCCCTGTACAGCCCTTCCAGCAAAAGTGCCTTCATCGGTGTTTGCTAGGCACAGAGCATCAAAAAGCTAAAAACAATTGCAGCCTGGACTTCCAGGGTGTCAGGAGGTGAAAAAGAACAAATCTGAGCAGGAAGAGATTTGGCCTTTCTGCTGCAATGATGTCTTTCTGCAGCTTTGCTCCCAAAGCATCCCACGTAGCTACAAAACAAGACTTTCAAAAGTGTCCCACACCCAGCCTAGAGCTGGGGTGACTCTTCCCGAAGAAGTTTCATCCACTTTCCTCATCATGCAGCACATGGACAGGGAGACCACCAGATCAATGTAACACGTGGAGTAGGGAGAGGGCAATCAATGAGTGTGAAAGAGCACAAAGAAACACAGGAACGAGGCTGAGAACATCAACAAATTGATGGGGGCTAAAATGCTATCAACATAGTCAAGGACCACCATGACAGCTGGGAAGAGAGACCCTGACCCCAGCTTGGCTGACACCATCCATGCAGCTCTGAAAGCACCACAGGACTTTCACATTCATCAGACTTGGTGTTCTTCACAATTCACAATCACCAACACCCTGCACTGGGCTCGTGACTCCAGGTCCTGCAAGAACAGGATTGGTCACAGATAGAGAGTTGCCACCAGAGCTATTTCCCCCCCTCACTGGTGAAATCATCTGTCCCATCCCCTGGCTGACTACACCTTTCTAACCCATTGGTCCAGCTTGCTCGCCGAGGCCACGTTCCCACGTAGCCATTTATTTCTGCCACACAGAAGAAATTGCACATGAAAGTAAAAGACAGGAAGGAAAAGCCATAAAGCCAAGAAAAGATGCCCTCAGCAAAATTTGTTTTAAGGCACAACTAGCTCATACTGAAAGCCAAAACCTCTGGTTTTCAGTCCAGACCCTTGTGAGAAGACAATTTATGCTCTCTTCAGCCAGATGTGGTGCTGGGGGATTATTCAGGGCAGCAGTAACACCACTAAAGCTCTTTGCTGTGAGGAGATCCAGGGGCAATGAGCGCTGGTATTCAGGGAAACATCACCTGTATCAAAAGGGACACCCATCACACTGATTCAACACCAGTGCTACCACAGGTGACAGGAAAATTACACAAAGYACTGCTCCCCTCCCCAAACAGGAGCCTTGTGGGAGATGAATCAGCTTCTGTCTCCAGGGACACCAAGGAGGAGTCCTTTAAATCTCCCTACACCTCCAAGGAGAGGTAAAAGGGGTGGGAGGGAGAGAACAGTCCCAGAAAAAGCCAGTGGAGCTTGGCTGTGGCTGTGCTGCCCCAGAATGGATCTGCCAGTGCTGAATCTGCTGTTGGAGCAAAAAGCAAYTTCCCTGGGAGGGGAGCACTGAGCATCCAAGGGACATGTAAACATCCCACCAGTGTGGCATGGGACCAGCACTCCGCTGCTTGCCTTTCACACTGCCCAAGGAGGCTTCACCACCCTGGCAGGAGCTTCCAAGATGGGGATCATGAAAGACCTCCAGAAAAACATGGTTCTCAGTGATTTCAGAAAAYTTGGGGATGGACTTTTTATCAGGGCCTGTAGTGACAGGGTAATGGTTTCAAAATGAAAGAGGGTACAGGTTCAGGGTAGGTAGAAGGAAGAATCTTTTTTTTTTTTATCATGAGGGTAATAAGACACAGAAACAGATTGCCCACAGRGGTGGTRGATGCTCCATCCCTGAAAAGATTCAAGGTCAGATGGATGGGGCTCTGAGCAAGCAGGTCAAGTTGAATATGTCCCTGCTCATTGAAGGGGAGTGGAATTTGATGACCTTCAAAGTTTGCTTCCAACCCAGACTATTCTATGATTTGAATTCTGTGTGGTATCTTTAGGCACAAAAGTTTCAAAAATCTGCCACTCTCCATATTTATTTTTTTCTTGTGCATGGTCTGCTCTAGAGATCAAAGACATGGAACCAGCAAAGGATCAGCACAAGGAGAACACGGGGAGAACATGAAACTATGGCCAAAGCTCTGAGACAGCTCTGGGTACRGCTGCTTTCCAAATGAGTGAAGACAAAACACACCCTCCTCAGCCTCATCAGCAAGAACTTCCACAAATCAGCTCTCCCTTTATACAAATCAATCCTAAATAGAGTGAAACTCCTCCAAATGAAAGTCATAGGGGGAAAACAAAATTTTATTTGCATCTGCCTGAGCCCCATCATTCCATATTCAGCTGACCCGCTGTTGAAGAGATGCTCTTACCAGCTGCTTCCCAAGTCCTGTTCTCCTGGGCACACGAGACTTTCTTCTAATCTGGAAGAAAAAGCAAGACAAATGATTAGTACTGGGAACAAAACAATGGCTAAGGTCATGGTGACCATCAACACCAGGAGCTCTGGTATCCAGACACWACCTGCAGCCTCTGACCTGGGCTGTAGGAACAAAAACAACAMTTTCTCAAAACATCACTGTTGAGCATGGGGAACAGCACCTCTATTTAAAAAGAAAGTTGGTATAAATCTCTAAAACTAATAAAGGTTTTATAATTCCATATTAGCAATGGTACAAAAGTAGGAGGTTGCAATTGCAGGACACCTGCAAAAATAACAAATTAAAAACCTTCAATAGAAAAAGAGAATTACTTGTTTAAGTGTCCAATCTTCTTCAAGATCCTACTGTGGAAGGAACACTCTGGCCACAATCCAGTTAAGCATTTCAGTGTGTCAGATTTGAGAGAAAAGGGAGAACCCTGCTGAATCAAGGTCTTGGTGTTTCTCACCAGCCSCTTGTTTCTCTCTCCTGCTGGCCTTCAAACATGTACACACACTCCTACCTTCCAAGAATTTCCAATTTTAGCTTTTATTCTAGAAACAACACCTCTTGGTTACAAAAGCAGCCAATTTTCCTGCCAGGAAGAAGCGCTGTTGCAACCCCAAGAGGCAGGACCTGCATTAGACGAGCACCAGGCAGCTCTCAAGAGCTCACAAAAGGCCTTTTAATTAATACGCCYACTTGCTTTGCTCAATTAACACTGAGGAGGAAGCCCTTCACACACTGCCTTCAGCTTTGGTCACTGTAGGCTGAATATTTAAAAAATCCTCCTGTATTCATAAACACATCCTATTTAAATGCCATATTCTTCCTACATACAGAAAGCTCAGTTAAAAAAAAAAATAAATAAAAAAAAAGGATGCAATTTCTCCAGAGAGGAAAATTCAGAGATAAAATTGCAGCAGTGATTTATATCTGCCCAGAGCAGCAGAGCAGCAATCCCAGCCCTTGGTGACCTCTGTGCAAACACACTGAGCCAATTACACACTGACAGAAGATTCCCCCCTCTCAGAGCAGCAGCTTCTTGTTGCTCAATGTTAGAAATATCAAAAAGTAGTGCAAGAAGCGAGTGTGTGTTACTGAGCAGGCTGGGGACAATCAGCCTCGAGGTTTAATCAAGATTTAGATCCAATTGTGTGAGGAGTTTTGTAAACATTGATCTCATTGAGCTGTTGCATCTGGAGGATGTAATTCCCAGCGAGATGCCCGTTTGACCTATGGAAATCACCGTGGGGCAACTCAGCTCGRTCCTCCCCCTCCATCCCTTCTTGTTTGCCGTGGTCTTCATTAGCAGATGAGTGCTAATTCACCTCACCCTTCAGCATCTCACACTTGGGACATGCCCAGCARCACTTCCATGTCCTTTGGCAAGATCAAACTAACAGGGAAAACACAAAGTTTTTAAAGCCACCAGTCACGGCCAGCAGCTGACAGAATAAATGCTCTCATCTTCCCAGAATTATAGAATAATTTGGGTTAGAAAAGACCTTTAAGATCAATTAGTCCAATCATCAACTAAGCATTGCCAAGGCCACAATTAACCCATGTCCCCAAGTGCCACATCCACACATCTTTTAAATACCTCCAGGAATGGTGACTCAAACATGTCCCTGGGCAGCCTCTTCCAATGCTTAAAAAACCTTTCAGTGAGGAAATTTTTCCTAACATCACATCTAAACCTCCCTGGTGCAAACTGAGGCTGTTTCCTCATGTCCTGTCTCTCGCTAGTAAAAAAAAAGTTTGGAAAAAGCCTGCCAGTTCCCTTGTATTGCCCGAGACATCCCAGTTCCAGCTTCTTGTTGAGCCACAGCATCACTGCTCTGGTTATAAGAATGCTTTTTCTGCTGGACATCCCAGAGCCCCCTTTCCTTCCCCCTGTTTCTTTAGGATGATAATCAAGGAGCAGGGACAGAGAGCTGGGAATTTGTCACTTCATATGCTTTTCTTTTCTGCTCCAGGAAAAAGAAATTAGGAAAAGTATGATGAGGAGCATGTAAGAGGTGCATTTAGGTCTGGATTTCAACCATCTCTGTTTACTGCCCAGTGTTGTTAACAGGAGCAAAAATACAGCAGCAGGCACTTCAAAAGAGCCAAAACTCAGCTCATCTTACCAGTGCCCACAAGGACACCGTAATTCCAGATCCCATCAGCTCCCCAAAAGGGGAACTTATCCCTCCTCCTGAGATGTTTATAACAGGAAAACCATCTCAACTCCCCAGCTGGTGCTGTGAGTCTTCTCCAGTCTGCTCCACCTATGCTGTGCTCTCCATCATCTGCTTGGAACTGGGATGGGAGCACCCTTTTTAACACCCCAAACAAATGTGCCAGATTAATTATTATACTTCGAGGGTTTTGGGGGAGTTTTGCCTATTTTCGTCTTTGTCTGAAGCATTCAACCATGGGACAAAATTATTTCTGCCTGCACTGAGAGAGGAAATGCTCCTTGACTGTTTAGGTGAGATTAATTTCAGGATTGTGACCAGACTGAGGAAATTGKTGGCAGAAATCCTTCATAGTTGGATAATGAGGTTGCGGCTTTATGAGTAATTCTCCTGAGTTATGCGCCCAGCACCTTGAATGTGGGTGACACAATCTTTCCTT